GGGGGGGGGGGGATCCATCGGCCGAGTTGTCGAGGTGTTTGTTCTTAATAAAGGAAAAGCAGTTATCGCACATAAAAACTCGACATACGAAGGTGGCGTCCACCTTCCGGAAGTCTTGGAGGGGAAGTTCGCTATTCCTGGAATTTCCACGACGCCTTTAATTCCAAGTAAAACAATACAGCTACACGCACTCGTTCGTTTCTATGTATATGTATAATATCTGTTGCTCTCTTTTGCCTCAACCGTGCCGTTATCGCCGTCTTTATTTTTTATTATTATCCGCTTGTGCGAAACACATCGTACGTCAGTTTCCGCATAATCGCAGAGACCCTCTTATCGTCTCCCGTCCCGTCACTTGTGTAAATAACAGATTGACCGAAAGTCCCGAAAGACCGGTGGGTGACGTCCGTAGACGTAAATTTGGCTCGTCTGGCCATTCACTTTTCCCCGTTTCCGCTCTTTCGTGTCCATCCGTACGAAAGACTGAATACCAAGCGACGCGTCCTCGTGGATCCGACAAGTCCGAACAGGCTCCATGCAGGTACGGACACGCGTAAGTCAATCGACTGCCAGTCGTTCGTTCTCGATTGACGCTCTTAGCGACCAATTGGATACGTCTACAGGGTGTGACGTCATCGTCAGAAAGCGAACACACCGAAAAGCTTCTACCGGGTGTAAAACTTCGATAAAATCGAAAATTCAATGAGCGTGAGAAATATTTTCAAAAAAAAAATTATATAATTCATATCGTTATACATAATCCCATATTAAACCATGCGTTTTTCAATATACCCTTCGCATATATGGCTTTTCCGTACAAGCGACGCGAGAGAGAAAAACACGTGTAAGACAGCGGACGGGAGCGAACGACAAGTACTAAGAGAAAGCGAAAAGTAGCATAAGAGACAGAAGAGTCGCGCCATCGCGAAACACACTCGTGGACAGGGACGCCCATACGTACACAAGTTGCCCACTCGTATACCAGAAAGCACGCGCGAACCCGCAATTCTATAAATAAATTCGTTTGCTCTCCTCTAATCTGCCTCGGAGCGCCGTTGAACCGGACAAAGGGCGATACCGGCTGCTATAGAAAATTACGAAACGAACGTGCAGGGTATATCTCTGGTGTCTCCGTTATACGCGTTTCCGCCTCCCCGGCGAAGATATCGTCGCGGTCGACCCCCTTCCTCCCTACCCCCTGGGCCCTCCAATCCCCGCGTACGTCCCACTTATCTATATACACCTCCAAGATAGCGGAAACTCCACTGACACCCACAGCACTTTTGGAGCCTGTTCCATGGCGAAACGCATCGTGAACGTCCTATCCACGAGATCAGCTCCTCACCGGGATAACCCGAGATCCCTGATACGGAGTGATGACGTCGGTCAATCCGAATTTCCCAGAGCACGATTCTCTTGCACAACTAATCCAGCTTCTCACTGCGCCAATTGGACGGGCACCGACTGTACTCTTTTACCTGCTGATAGAACAGCTCCTGGGCAAGGATATTCGCTATGTCGACGGGATCCATGGCGGCGGCCATAGCTCGAGGTTCAATCGGCTTTCGTTTGGAGTTCGTTGCGTTTCGTTTGTAAAATGGAAATAAAATAGGGGAGGGGGGTAGGGGGTGCAAGGATGAAACAAGTGTAGATCGTGAATGAAGGAAAGTCCGGGGACACGAAAACAAAGGGCAAGGTTATCAAGATGGAGGAGTCGGAGGAAACGTAGGAATATTCTTTGGCTGATGAGGTGCGAATGGGGAAAAAAAATAAGTGTGCGTATCGTTCGTTCGAAATATTAATTAGAAAGAGATCGTCGTCAGGCGTCGGTGGTGCACGGCTCTTCTCCGTCGTCGCTGGGTCCTCCGCCGACGCCTCTCTAACACTGAGCATCCCCGACGCCGAGGACGCGGCCTCACCTCGAGGAGCAACGCCGTCGCCGAAAATAACCTCGAATTTCGTAGCGTGTGTACGCGCCTTTTTCTACGCCTCGGACAACGTGCCAATATACTCTGCGAGAAGCCTTCTCTCTCCTCTCCTCTCCTCTCTCTCTCTCTCTCTCTCTCTGGACTTAGCCGTCACTTCGTTAGCCGCATTAGAGATGCCCAAGAAAAAGGTCTCCGCCTGATCCCACAGGTCCGCGTTAGAATTTCACCTGGGGATCTTCCTCGGGAACTGATCCTGACCCCCTTGACCCCTCCCTCTGGAGGTCCCCAGGCGAGGGGGGGGAGGCGTCAGCCGTCTCACGTAGACCTCAGTGACCCTTCCATTAGCGACGGTGCACTCGGTGGCTCGTTAATCCCCTTTTCTCGTTCACCCCTAATGGGCTCCGAGAGACCCTGATGACTTGACCTCCGGGACATTAGCGGCGAAACCATCCCTGGAGGCAATTAACCCGGCGTCTGCCTTTTACCCTATTTAACACGAAATACTTTTAATTCGCGAGACTTCCGTCTTCCCTCCCCTGTCAGAGAGACTTCGGTTCCACGAGAAGCAGGTTTCCTTCCCAAACCCGACTCCGTCCACGTTCCTCCCTCGTGGCTAAAGTCACGACCATCCCAACCGCGCGACACGCGAGTTCTTGATTAGCGGCCGACGTTCCAAGTATAACACCTGTGGAGCGGCGAGCGATTCGCCGTAGTTCCTTCTCGCGCCACCAGAGGACTTGGCGCGCGGCCAAGTATGTACAGTCGTGCGTGGATGTGCCGGGTCCGAGTGCTACGCTTAGCCCGTACTTGTCGTCGCGTCTGAGAGAGGACGAGGAGATTGGATGCAGTTTAAATTTTTCAATTCAACGTCAAACTTCGAAAAACTTATTAAATCGTTTGCACGTAAACGGTCCCGAGACTTTTGCCGATGACAAAAGAATGTGGCGGTTGGCAGAGTCGACAGTCGTTGGCTAGTGCAACGTGAGTCTCGGTGGTTGGATCGAAATACACATTGGACGTCCTTCGACGTAGCGACGGAAACCGATTCTCCGGCGGAAGCGTTGAGGTCTCGACATGAAATTCCGGAAATTCATTCCAAGAATTTGCCGTCTCTAAACGACCGTGTCGATTTCGACGACGAACTCGCCAAATTGTATCTCCATCCGATCGCGTTTCATCCGTTGATCCTTTTCTTTTGCAATCATAACGACAACAGCCTACCGGACAATGAACTATCAGCAAAATAAATTTTAAATCCTCGCGCCATTTCGATATCGAAATCAAAATAAATGCTTCCAGGATGTGGCGCAATATCTCCGGTCTGCGGCGACGACGACGTTCAAATTTATCCTCCGGAGGCACCAG